ATATATATATATATATATATATATATATATATATATATATATATATATATATATATATATATATATATATATATATATATATATCATGTGAAGTCACTTCTAGATGAAAATTATAAGCTTTGAAATCAATGATTCCATTGATGGAAACTAGAGTGAACATAAAATATTGGACTTTGTTATATATTCAACATTTCTAGAACATTAGACCACGATAATATTTGTCAAATCAGAAAATAAAGGTGAAAAAAAGGAGAACAAAAAGCAAGACCAAAGAAAAGATGAGGGCGGTAGAAGAAAATGAAATCCATAAACGTAGTTCACACTCCCTTGATCTCTAATCTCTAATGTAATGTGCGTTAGGCTTCAATGCCTTCACGTTACCTGTTTGGCTTCTGCAAATGCCAACAAGAGACGCGTTATGCCGTGGAAAAAGGGAAGAAGAAGGGCAGGCAGGCTTGGTAAGGAAGTCATACACCAAAAGAGAGTCGAAACACAGTCGTCGCCCCGATGCCACTATTCTCTCTTTCCTCTTTATATAGAGGACTCGGCCTCCTCTCTCTCTCGCTCCTCATCGTGCTCTGCTCGACCCATCCTCTTCTCTAGGCCACCCGACCTACCTACAATACCGGGCTCTAATCTTGGCGAGGTTTCTTTCTTAGAAAGGCCATTCCACCCCATCTCGTCTATGTCTTCTCCAGCGTCTTCCACGATGATGGCCTTGGCGCTTCTTCTCTTGCAGTGCCTCTTCCTCTTCCCGTCCGCTTTAGGTAATGACTTCCCCTTCCTTCTATTTGTCTCTTGCATGTCTGCTTCCTTCGATCAGGAACGAGTTGACGACGTCGGTGTTCCTTTCAGCGGGAGTGATCTGCGAGGAGCTGCCGCAGGAGCTGTGCGCCTTCGCCATCTCCTCCACGTCCAAGCGGTGCCTGCTGGACAGCACCCAGAACCAGGGTGGGCGCACCGAGTACCAGTGCAGGACGTCGGAGGCTGTGGTGGAGCGGATGTCGGACTGGATCGAGACGGACGAGTGCGTGCGGGCCTGCGGCGTCAGCCGCGACTCCGTCGGCATCTCCTCCGACTCCCTCATGGAGTCCGACTTCGCCCAGAAGCTCTGCTCTCAACCGTGCTATCGCAACTGCCCCAACATCGTCGACCTCTACTTCAATCTCGCTGCCGGAGAAGGTATGATAAGTCTACGTGACCCTGATGGCATGTCAACGATCATTTCCTTGGGCAAAACCTCATGTTTTGACAACGTTGCAGGTGTTTTCCTGCCGGATCTGTGCGAGGCTCAGCGAGTGAATCCTCGGCGTTCCATGGCGCAGATTCTCAGCTCTGGAGCAGCACCTGGCCCTGTGGCTCCACCTCCTGTGTCGCCCTGAGTATTTAGTGTCCTTTATCGGGGGTTCCCCATTTTACTTGGTGGATATGAGAAGTACAAGTCTGTTGGAGGGGAATCCTCGGTTGATAGAAAGTGTTGCGGCATGTGGGAATGTGTGGATCTGCTATTTTTCAGTGATATGATTATTATATAGGATTTGCAGCCTCCTGTACTTTCATTTATACATGAAATAAAATGAAGCCATACTTCAGTTTTCTTACTTGTACGTTTGTTTATCTCTTCCTGTCTACCGTTGAATGAGTTCCATTACTGTTCTATTGGCAGATCGTCATAATAGACATGATAATTGATGCGTTATACATGATCAATATATGATAAGGTCGTTTCGATTTGGGTCCAATAAATCTAAACCCCTACCGATATGGTATCATCCAAAATCCTTCAACTTTCTTTGGGGTTGTCACTCCGAAATTTGGACGAGGGAAGGCTTAAGGCTTCCATAATATATATATATATATATATATATATATATATATATATATATATATATATATATATATATATATATCTTCTTTGGTTTCTATTGCCTGAAGCTTAATAACGAGGAGAATAACAAAAGATTCTCAAACAAAAATCAGGGAGATAATAAACCCACAGACTAAAAAAATTCAATCAGCAGAGATAAAGATTCCTTTTTGCTGCATGGTAAAGAATCATTGAAGAAAATGATACATATGGACATGTGATGATTCAAGGAGCAAAATGGTTGTTGACCCCCCAAGACAAATTTCAGTTTCTTGCACAAATAAAACCAACCATCCACGCCCACATTCAGTCAACACATACGACAACGAGACCATGACGAAGCACTTCCCGGTAGAGCCTTTAATTCAAAGAGAGTCGAGGCACCATCCATTTTGGTATCCCTTCTGCAGAACATCCGAGGAAAACAATGTTGTCCAAGATCATCTATTTACCCCATTCACTGCAGATTCAGAATGGACATGGTTCCCATCATCTCCATGTGTGCCATTCACTTGCATCCTCTGTCTCTGTTTGGAAACGACCAAAGAAGTTTGCACTTATTAACAAGAATATTTGGGGAAAGAATCATATGATATTCATGTAAATAAAAGAAGACATGTTCGGCAGATAAACAGGCTGTTCTAAAGTCATAATTGATTGATCTTTAGACCATGTGATCTATATCGTTCAGTCATTATAGGAAACCAAGAAAAGAAAGGCATAGGCAGTGGCATATAACTTCCTAGGAATATTAAACACATTAAACTTATCTATGCTGTAGTGTGCATTCAATGCTTGAACCGAATTAATATAATGTTTACTCTACATAAACTGATTCCATGTCACGAGTTCTAGAATTCTAGTGCTAATTATTATGGCAACAAGAGCACAGTTTTCCAACTTCATTCTACTTATTAGCATTTCATATCTATCTACTTTCTGAAACAAATCAAGTAGATTTGGTCTATGTCACCTAATTGTCGCAGGCTTTGCTAATAAAGTGGCATATTATCAGTTGAGTACATAACATACTAGAACTAAAAGATGGTCAGTTAGGAAAGCAATACATTGAGTCAAGTGTTATACCCAATCAGCAGTATCCACTGAATTTCCATTCAATAACTTGAGATTCTCTTCTCTGGGTTTTCCATCTTTCTCCTTAATGTTTAATGGTAGCATTGGTTGAGATCCAGTAGAACGATCGGGCATTTCTGTCACAGACAATATTAAACATTTTCATGCAATCAAATCTTTAATATGAAGCAATATTGAATATGATAGATAGTCATTGAACTAAAAAAAAGGACACCTGGTAGTTTCTTGTCAATGAAGAATACCACCAAATTTACAGTATACCTGCAAGCATAAAAGTCAAAATATAAGCCAGCTGTCCTACTATAATACTATAAAAAACTATAATACTAATTTGAAAGAAAAACACCACACCATGCAACTACGACATCTACTGTGTAATGCTTGCGGGAAGCTACTATAAGAAGACTCTGAATAATAGCAATAACCCAAGCAAGAAGCTTAACGAACCTGCAAAAGTGCTTCGAATTAATTAGACTTTTATAAAACAAGTGAAAGTTGCATAGTTGCTTTTCTAAAAACATCAAGTCCATGAGCATAATTAAATGCCAAGGGTGAACCTTTTAGAGCCATATTTATGGTACGTACGCACAAAAACCAGTGTGAATATCATATGGGATGAAAATATCAGATCACCACAACCATATATGACTCCATGAGGAACTGCAAGCAACAGAAGCAAAATTATATACTAAAAAGGAAATTTGATTGCCAGGATAAATATCAGAGAGAGGATCGCACAGTTAATTAGAAGCACTTCAGCTATACTCTCTGGTGGGGGCAGTCTGGCAAGCTTCGAGCCCTAAATTAAATGGAAAAAAAAATGATCAGTGATGTTTATAGACTAGAAAACTATTTTAGTGGCAAAATGATTCTAATAACTGAAGCCGTTTCATGCAGATAATACCTCACGGCAGTGATAGTTAGGACCCGGAAGTTGAGTAGAATAGAATGTAATGATCCGCAACAATTGAGAAGCCTGAAAAACCATTTAACATAAGATACAGAATGGCCAAGGAGAGAGAAATATCAAACTTACAATTAGAAAGCATTAAATAACAGAATGACCAAGGAGAAGGGAAATAACAAACAAACAGTCTTACAACTAGAAATGCCAAAATTCTCCACCAGAGCAGAACAGTGTAGAAGCGCTTGCTATGATAAACAAAGGGATGAAATGTCCACTGCAATAATAACAATAACAGGGCATAATCATCAACAACTAAATAAATATATGGTGCCTATCATGGCACTGAAGGTATGCAGTATAATGTACAAGCTTAAAAAGAAAGACCCCTAGAGAAGGCACCTGACCATATATTTGTGTACATAAAAATGTGTGCACACATATAAAGAAGAGGAAGATGGGAAGAGATATCAAAGAGTGAGGTACACATGAGAAAAGAAATGGTTGCAACATATACTGCGTGCAATGGTGATGCCTTTAGACCTCATGCTTATATAATAAATGCAAGCCGACTAACATCAAGAGGAACAACACAAAGATAAAAACCAAGGTTAACAGAATAATTAAAAAAGGTTGCACGACGAGAAAAAACAATAAAAGTGAACACACAGCAACATAAAGAGGACAGGACAGTCAACTAAAATGACATTGAATTGTCTCTGTGATGAAGAAATCTTTTGACATTAGTTCTCAACATATTTCATATTAGAGTGTTTGCAACTTTTTGTATTTCTTTCAAAAAATAAATGTACCTTGTAAGTATAGTTCTTTTCCCATTTTCCAACAGAACTGTGGGTGTAGAAACTTATAAGAGAACACATTAATAAATAAAAGGACAATGGCATACCAGTACAAAGGACAAAAACACAATGGTGAATAGACTCTCACTGATGTAGCCTCTTTCTCTTCCAAGTTCCTAAAAATACAAAAGCATCAGTACAACTATGATGTCACTTCATTCATTTTGTGCAGAATTGTACTTAATTAAGCACAGCACTAGGACATACCGGAAGAATCATATACCCAAGATCTTGAAGAGTTGGTCCAGGTCGATGTAGATAATGAACCCCTCGTGCAGCCAACCCATGTATATACTACAAAAAGAAAAACAATAGTCATTGAATGATTCACCAGCCTAATCCAAATAGAAGAGTCATTCGCATACTAACCCTGTGTGATGACCATCAAAAACACAGATAAACAAACACAAGATTTTAAGCAGAACAGCAGTAAGATAATCAAGGAAAAAAAGGTAACTGCAAGAAATATCTCTTGTAACATTTACAGAGCATCAAGAAAACAATCTGACAGGCCTAGATGAAATGCAACCATTAGGCTATAAAAAAACAACAAAATGACAATAGAAAAGATTGTTATGGAACAAGAGGATTTTTATCAATATACATCTTTCATTGAATTTGCAGACATATAAATAACTTCCAGTTTGATTCAAAATTCAAGAAAATCACTTAGAAAAAAATATCATTCATAGGGACGAGCCAATTGTTGTAAATGCTGCTGCAATTTGCATGCACTACTTCCATGTAGGAGACATTATTCTACAGCAGAAACCAAATTGGCGAACACCTCCAACAGCTAATTATCATGCATATTCAAAGAAACATTTCATCAATAACAACATTATGAAGGCTATATCTATAATGAAATGGAACATATTGCTCAAGTATGATATGGTAGTGAATTGATATACCGAATACTCCAACTCAAGTAAACTATGATTGCAACTTTAGTCCTATGGTCATAAAATAGTGAATGGATGATCCTTCACGATCATTATATAAGTAACCTAAAGCATCCAAAATCCAAATGATAAAAGCACCATTTGGATGAAGGATCTAACTAGAGAATCAGAGAATATGAAGTTATAAATCTAACCTAGCTTCAGTACTGAAGCAACAGAAGTAATTGTTGACTTGGTTAAATCTCAATGCAGCTATTCCAAGGTCATTCTAGTCTGTCAATTAGACCCCCATAGAACTCTAAGATCACCAATGGGGGAGATATCAAAAATGAATGTTCATTAATGACAAGCTTTCTAAAATAATTGACAAGGCAAAAGTCTGAGAGAAAGCAACCCAGACATTTGCAGGCCATGATAAGTTTCCCAAATTACTGCACTTCAAAAGACGATAAAATTAGAAGTGCAAGAAATTCATCTCAAGTTTTTCTTGTGAAAAGATACATATATTATAGCACTCAGCTTGCCAAAAGGAGCGATCAAGAAACAGCTAAGCATAAAATGCGATGACAAATGTTTTACGCCTACCAAGACACCAGAACAGATTCCCATTCAACACCAACATAAAAGAAATGCCTAATTAAGGAAACTCTCAGAAAGAATGTCCGGTGAAAAAAAAATCAAGAACTCAATTTGAATTACAAAAAAATTCCATTAGAGCAGTTGTTCAGAGATACATTTGAGGTAATTGAAGAAGGGGGACAAATGAACACCTGGAACAGGAGTCCCGTGAGCAGAAGCTTCCATTTCTCCGCAAGAAGTTGAAGCTCCACAGATGTCTCCACGCAAACCTTCCTCCATAGCTGCAGACAGAAATCCATAATACAAATAGAGAAGAACTCTAAGAGATGTTCTGAAGAAAAAGACGAAGAAGAACAAGAAAAAGAAGAGGGGAAAAAGAGCAAAAGCAACTAGAAAGATCGAGCAAAACAGATGAATTCTGTGACGGAATAGGGGGACCTTGGAAGCCTCGCGAGCAATGTAGACCTTCATGACTGGAAACCGGAGGTCCAACCACTCCCATACTCTCTCAGCAACCGACCTGCTTCGTTCTCCGCATGACCCTTCTTCTTCTTCCAGAAATCGAAACCCCACCGTGCGTCGGCCTTCTTTCACCGATCAGGGACCAAAGCCTGGCTGGCGATTGCCCAAAACTCCGATCGTGAATTCGATCTAACACCAGAAAACCCTTGAAACGAACGAAAACAATTCACCCTTTCATCTCATTTTCCACAACAAAAAACATACCTGGTTACGCACGCATGCAGAATTAGAGAGACATACGACTTTGTTGTTGGGAACAAAAAGCAGAATAGGGATGAGATTGCGGACGTCAGCGAGTGAGACAGTCGGGTTTCGTGGGCCTTCTTCTCCTCCTCCCCTTCTTTTGTTAGGCAACGCGGTCTTCACGCGGACCTCCGCCTACGACCGGAAGGTTCGTAACTTGTTTCAGGCGGCGGCGACCGATCGAAGGAGAAGAAGACGAAGAACATTAAGGGGGCAACAGGGAGACCCGAACCCAAACAAGGGACGAGTCGGAGATGAGGGAGGGAGGTAAAGAAGGGGGGCGAGAAGAAGCAACGCCTCGCACGGCCAAGAACAGACTGCGGCCTCCACTTCCGTCCTCCCGCATCTCCTTTTTATGTATTTCATTTTGAATCCAAAAGATTGTAAGTGGATTCTTTCTCTTTTAAATCGAATTAACTGTTAAGCAAATCACGACTCCGAATGAAACGACTTCAGGTACACATGAAACGGACGGTGGGTGCCATCGTGGCCCCACCTAACGTGTGAGGCGTGAGCATCGTCCAGATCAGATTCGTTGTCACCTCGTCCCACGCACTAAGACTCGACTCGTTGCATCGCTGGAAATGAGAACGACTAGGCACATTCAACAGTTACCCAAATTATTCCCTATAATTTCATATGTTATATTGAGTCCTGAGAGCAGGTTTGGATTTGTGTTCCTTCTGGGTGCGTGAGAGGGAATGGATTTGGGCGTTGGAGATACGGAGGCGGCAGCGGCGGCCACGGAATCGGGGCGTGGCCGCTTCCGACGGGCATGGCCGCTCCATTCGGCCTCCCACGAACTCTGGGCGACCGCCTGCTTGCTTACTTCTGACGGCAGATGTCAGTGGCTCACGCGAGGAGGCTGCGCTCTGCTGCCGTTGCCGACCGCCACCGAGGGCGAGTTCTGATGTGCCCGTTGACCTCCCGCCCCCCTCCGCAGTCTGCGGCGTTGAATGGTCAACATATCAGCTGCCTAAGAAAGACGAGCAGAGAGCTGCCCCAAGGAAGCAGGTGGTGTGAGTCAGACAGCATGTGCATTGGTCCTCGAAGAAGGTGGTGGTGGCGGGAGCTCTGGGCGTTGTCTCAGCGCAGAGCTTGGGGTTGGGTTGGCTATTTCGGTCAAGGAATCGCAATTCACGAAAGGCGCATTGGAAATCTGCGGTGCCAGTTTCGTTCTTCCCTGTATATTTGACTTTGGTGATCCAAACAATGCACCTTTGCCTCCTCGAAGAATTCAATGACATGGCTGTAGTTAATATGCTTCTTGGTCAAAAGAAGGTCAACTCCATGACCAAGGAACACGCTTGGACGGCGGAGGCGGCTACGGATATTGATGCAATGATGACACGGAATACATGACAGGAAATGGTCTTCACTCGTTTGCCTTGGGAGATGAAACGATCAGATCTCTTAATTTATCCTACGTCGATTTCATCGGATTAATCCAAGTAAATATACAGAGTTAGGACATTCCCTGCAGGTTTTAGTGCTTCTTATATATATATATAGTCAAAAAATATTCAACCACATAAATCATACCCTCTATACTTTTGATTTTAACGAGTGTTCCCCTAATAAAAAGAAAACTTCATTTCTTCTCTTATATCAATCTGTTCATGCATCCATATACACATATGACTACTCCCCAACCTCCATGTACAACAGCGGTAAGCTTCGATGATACCAGGATGGAGATGAATTCCATCACATATTAGCAAGCGTCAAATCCATGCGAGATAGGATCATAGGACAAGGCAAGCATGCTGTGGTAATGTTGCAGATGCAACTAAGCTCTTCCAACAGGCGAAAGAGGTGGACAATACGGTACATAGCTCGTCGGAGACGCCCCTTGGACTATTGCTTCAGTGTTCCCGGCATGACGACGCCTGACCGTTCGTTCCAGCAACCATTTTGGCTCGCCGGAGTTGTTGGTGGGATTCTTTCCGTGAATGATCGCTAAACCTATTGCGAAAGCCTGAAGCCAAGCGATGGACGTCCCAAACTCAACTCTATACAGTCCCTCCTTCAAAGAAACCATTCGGAAGACATGTCCATTTGCCCGCGATCCTCCTCCCTGAGACATCATATATTAGTCCCGTTAGACAAGGATGAGCTGCTTTGATGCAAGAAAGGAATTAAAGGATACCTGAAGGAAGCTTTTGCTTAGAACAGTCAGCCTGCAACCCTCATCCCAACCTCCGCAGTCGCATGCTCCTCCTGATCTCCATCTCTCGATCAAAGATGGCGGTTTGGCATCAGTTGAAGAGCCATGAGTTCCACCAGGAAGGACAATTACTGTATTATCTTCTGCCATTTCTTCTGGAACATTGACAACAATGGCAGCCAGCTCGCTGTTCAATGAGAAATCAACAGGCCCATGAGATGGTGGTGTTGGTTCAGCACCAAGCAACACAAACTCTCTTGTGACTTGATGACTTTTGGCATCATAGTTTCTCGATCTGAAAACGTTCATCCTGCCAGTGGCATCAGATACCAGCTGATGCTTCCCGCTCTTCCTTCCCAATCCAATCCAAGCTCCTGATTTCTTCTCACGTTGTTGAATGCAGTGTATTGTGTAAATGCATTCCAAATCATCCTTCTCTGTTTCGCTTTGCTGTGTCAACATTGCTGCAAGAACATCACCGTCTGTGGATGAGAACATAAACATAGGCTGCCCATTTTCCCAAGCAAGTTGGAGAAGAGCGTGTTTGGTTTTATCAGGTTCTTTATATGTTAGATTTCCACCCTTCTCACTTAGGTTCTTTGGCTTCAGCAGAGTGTCAAACATCCTCCTCAGTGGACTACGCCTACTTGACGCTTCCTTACTGCCATCAAATGGTCTCACCAGTACTGGTGCAGAGGAACCATCCCTTGAGCTAGCACTTCGAATCATCCATGTTGGCCTGACACTTGACTGATGATTGGACGATTCCTTTCCCTTCTCGATTGATTTCTTAGTAGAGATTTCAGTCTCTGGTCGAAAAGTATTGAGTGTACCAATATGGGGAGATCCTTTGATGTCCTTAGCGTTGTCAAGATGGCAAAGTGACAAGCTTTTGGCATAATCGAAATATGACTCAAAACTATTGCGTCTGATCTGAGCACTGGCTTGAAGATGATCCCACAAATTACTAGTATCATGACATAGCTGCTGCCAATTGCCCATGAAATCTAGATCACGAGGATAGCCTTGGAGCTTCTCTGCATTTTCTGGTCGATGGGCTTGGGTCTCTGTGGCTTTTGCTCCAGGAGCTGAGGTTTGACCATTAATGAGGCTGGAAGGTGGATGTAAAATTCCAGAGTCCATATGGAAGCACACATCAGAGAACATGGACTTCATATCTGCAGTATCTGCATCATTAAAGCTTGTGAGATGTCGAGATACAACGATCTCTTTCGTTTTGTAATCCACAGAAGCAAATTCTTCTTGCTTAGGAAGAGCTCTCCATGTGCTTCCAGTACACAGGGTAGACGACCCAAAAGTATGCAGCAATGGGGATCTGTTGTTGACAGAGTTTGATCTTTTGGTTCCCCCACGAGCCACACATTTCTGATGGTACTTCCATCTCTCGAGCAATCCCCAGTCAAGAACTCCAACTTTCGAAGCCTTTGCATGAATTCTATCACCTCCCTCCATGTGGCATTTGCTTCCCATCGTGCAAGTTGGAGTTCCTAGTTACTATGGGAAACACAGGGATAAGCTTGCGTTGTGATGCCCGCCGAATGGAAAAAGCTTGGATAAATGCATCCATTAATTGCCAGCAACGTCGATTGCGGTTTTTGGTGTAAAGCAAGATCATGGAAATATTTGTGCAACGCATAAAGAAGATGCAAGGAACAAGAAAGAACTGATATAAGAGACGCACCTTGGAAGAATGGCCGGACAACGAGGAAATAACTACAAGGAAGCCGTGATTCTGCCTTCGTCGGCTGCGCAATAGGCAATCCGCCAACAACACAAGCCCAGAGTAGCTGAGGGCACCTGAGAAAAGAAGAGGAGCTCACTGTGCGCACGAACAGAAGACGACGCGGTCGGTTGGTGGGGGAGAAGAATCGCCGTTCTCCATCGAGCAAGCGATCGGTAAAAGGATTCGTTCCCACTGCTACTGATTGGGAAACTATGGCTCGGCGCGAGGGGACGAGGAAGAGGACGAGGGCGGGGGAGCTCCACCCGTGAGCACCTCGACTCCCGGCTAGACTCCTCCATGTACTTGCGGTGTCGGTTTTGTTACTGCAGCGATCAAAGATACGTCATGTCAGAATTTATTGGAATGTTTGCCTTACGGTGCAAGTGGCGCACCGAGGGATGTTAGAACAGCGAGTTCGGGCCCACCTGCAACAGCCAGTAGAACAGCAAGTGGCGCACCGACACTTGTTGGGTTCGGCGGATGGTCGCAATCTACCATCCAATTCGAGATGAAGACATGGTCATATTCACGGTTAGGCCACGGGATCAATCATCAGGTATGTCGTTCGCTGCCTTCGTCGTCCCTTTTTTGTTCGTATCTTATGTTGTTGATTCATGTAATCGTAGTGGGCAGTAGAAAATTTTATTATTTCTTTTTCTATAAGTCTCTTAGCTGTTATTGTTCGGGCTGTCTTCGTTAATTGGGCGATGCTGTCAGACGTGCTGTCTGATTACCTCTGTGTCTCATCTGATGTGATCCGCCAACCAGAGTAATTGTGCAAATGCTACTACCACCAACACTGTTAGGTGCAATTGAGAGGTCCATTTTGATTGTTAGCTATGCATCTATGCATAGAGGAGATGGAAGGAGGAATCATTGCATCTAATTCAGCAGGAAGGGGCTGAGAAGGGGAGCATGGCGGATCACGTGCTGGTGTTCCCGTTCCCGGCGCAGGGCCATGTCAACTCCATGCT